TATCCCTTTGTATGAAACATGACATTAGACTTGCATTTCATCTAAGTATTAGAACTAGATTAGTACATTTGCTTGATTAGACTAGAAAAAATCCCTTGGATATGGGATATGGACGAGTTTGGCTTTCTAGCCTTAACACGCTCGTATTCCCTCTATTAAAGGGAACATCGAGTCACGAACATTAGTCCCCCATACCTGACATGATGCATTCCCTTAGGTCACGTATATTTGTATAATTATTTTTATTTTCCTTTTCTTTTCTTCAAATCTCATGACTTGCATTATTCGTGACTTCTTCGAAAAGTCTTTATTGGGCGTCACAATTAATGTGATTGGTACCAATTAAGTTTTGAAGATACATTTCGACCCCCCGATACCCTCCTAGTTCTAAGGTTTGCATTCATATAGAACATCCAAATGTGATAAATCTTAAGGGTAAAATAAGAAAATCTTTGACTAAATCGCGCAACTAGCCTTGGATAGGTTGAAAGGGTGCCTTGGATTCTTATCCTTGCCTTCCCTTTTTTCAAATGTGACTCCCGAATCTTTTTCTCTAATTTTCGTAAATTTGGAGTCGTTTAAAAAGGATTTTTCTACTTTTTTTCTTTAAAAATTCATTTTTTGGTGACTTGGTACACCTTAACTCTGTACCAAGTGGTGACTCCATTTTTCATTCAAAAAACCCTTTTTAAACTATATTTTGGGTCAAATCGTCGCATTTTCAAGTCCCATTTAGACCCATATTTTTTCATTTTTTTTAAAATAAATTCATTTTTTAATCAAAAATTGAATCAAAAGCTCTTTTTCTAAACTCGTCTTTTATTTTTCTTATTTAAAAAAATGGGGCGTGACATACTATAATTCAATCTTTTCTGATGAGTGTTAAGGTGAGGTTCAGTGTCATTTTTTTGAAGGCGGTTTTGTTTCATATGTTGTAACAATTAACATAAATCATTCATCCTTTTTTTTAAGCTGCATTGTTCACTTCTGAGCATGTCACAGAGATTTGTCTTTTTGTTAAGTTCAGCAAGCACATCAGTTTCAATCCTTTTCAGGTTCTCATTTTCATACTTAAGACACTTATTTTGTCGAAAAAGATTTGCATTATCTTGTATTAGAAAGCTAATTTTCTGTTTTAGTTCCTTATTTCTAACATAGGATTCTTTTAAGCTGTTATGCATTTTTTCTAAGAAAGAATTAATATCAACATCAAACTCACTATCACTATCAGTTTGAGAGTTACATTGGGTTACCTTTTCATCTCCAATGGCCATGAAAGTCACTTGGACGGATTCCTCTTCTTCCTCTACTTCTCCTTCTGAATTGCAGTCATTCCAGGTGATCTGGAAATTATTAAATTTTGGTTTTCGTTCACTCTTGTTCTCCTTTTTTTTCTTCATTGGACATTCATTTGCATAATGATCAGGTTGGCCGCATTCAAAGCACTTATCAGTTTGCTTTTTGTTGAATTCCAGCTTTCCTTTATTTCTGAAGTTGTTGGATTGATTTGGAAAGAAATTGCTATGTTCTCCTTTTCTGAATCTTCTTTTGTTGAATATTCTTTTGAAACCTCGTGTGATGAGTGCAATGTCACTATCATCACCTTCCATGTCATCTCCATCCAGAGAGATTGTATCATCTTCTTGTGAAGTCTTCAGAGCAATGCTCTTTCTAACTCTTATGTCTTCTTCTTCCTGCACCTTAGATTTGAGTTTTAGCTCATAAGAGATTAGTGAATTTATAAGAGATTCAATAGATAAAGTGTTCAGATCTTTGGCTTCCTCAATGACAGTTACTTTGCTCTCCCAATCCTTTGATAGAGCATTCAGAATTTTTCTGTTTTTCTCACCTAGAGAGTAATTTTTCCCAATAACTTCTAGATCCTTAATAAGATCATTGAATCTGCAATACATCTTGTCGATGTTTTCGTGAGCTTCCATCTTAAAGGATTCATACTTCGTGACCAGAATGGACTTCTTCTGTTCTCTCACATTTTCACTTCATTCGTGTATTTCTCAAAATTTATCCCAAATTTCTTTTGCAGATTTGCATCCCTTGAATCTAACAGATTCGTTTGAGTCTAAAGCACTATACAGTACATTTATCGCCTTGGCATTCAGAGTCAGATGAGTTCTATTTTCAGCAGTTAGTTCCCTTTTTATTTTTGGTCTCGGCCTGTTTGTATTTGCATCAATAGTAGAGGCATCAAACGGACCTTCATTAACAATAAACCATAGCTCAATATTTCTTTTTTAAAGAAAAATACTAAAGTTTGCTATTTATCATTAGGGATTTTTTTCTAAAAAACCTTTATTTATTCCAAAAACAGTTACAAGAGATTTGGAGATTCCTAACCCTTACTCAAGCACTAATCTAAAAGACGGGACTTGAGCGGCATCCATAGCAATACAACCCCGAACCTCCCTTGGTAGGAGCTGCGGGGAATCAAAAACCTTACTTGGACAACCTTGCAAAGCAGCTAACCTATCCGCAACCCCATTTGCCTCCCGAAATATATGCCTAAACGACACAGCAACCTGATCCAACAGGCGACGAATCCGCCGTAGCACACTGTAATACAGCCAACCTCCCAGTACCGATGATTTAACTAAGGACACAAGTACCGCCGAGTCCACCTCCACTAGAATCCCTCGTAACCGCTTGGTCGCACACATTAAAAGCCCCTCTAATACGGCCAAAGCCTCAGCATGCAGTACTCCTTTGTCCCCAAACTCCTTATAGAATGCAAAAATAACTCTACCATGTGAGTCCTGTAGCACTCCTCCTCCACTAGCCTTCCCGTTGACCACACTAGCATCCGTGTTTAGCTTGTATTGCCGGGGCGGAGGCGTTGCCCAAGTTACCACCACTGGTCGCCGTTTACGGGCCGTACTTGATGCTAACCGTGCCCACTCGCAATCCCGGTCACCCCGAAACTGTGCCTTATCCAGCCTATTTGCTCTTCCCAGGTCGTGCAAGAAGTTGCCAACTTCCACGATGACCTCCCTAGCCGAAAATTCCTGCCCTTCGAACCTTGCCTTATTTCGTCCCCGCCATATGAACCATGTAACCACTAACGGTAGGACACACCGAATATGATGAGCAGGGATGTGAGTCAACGAAGTGGCCCACATCCTCCACACAAGCTGAATATCATCAGGAGGGCAGTGAAGAATACCAAACTTACTGGCAAAATGTCCCCAAACCTCACTCGCTATTGGTCCATTAACGAAAAGATGTGGCAATGATTCCGCCTCTTGTAGACAGCAGGAGCACCTGGATACCAAGGGCAGGCCACGTCGTCGCATCACCGAGTCTAAGGGCACAAAGTTGTTCAACAGCCTCCAAGCAAAAAGTGAAATTTTTATCGGTGTACCCTTATTCCAAACCAGTTGAGGCAGCGCCAATGCGGCCCGACGTTGCCGGCACAGCTCCCAAGCCGAAGTTAAGGAAAACTGCCCTGTCGCCGATTTCGCCCACAGAATATGATCCTGCCCCTCAAGGTCGAAAGGAATCTCCACTATCGAATCCACCAGATTGGCCGGGAGCCAGTGGAGAAGTCTGCCCCTGTTCCATCCTTCCCTATCAAGGAATTCCGCTACCAAAAAATGTGGTCTGTCGCTCTCCGCCGGAACCAAAAAAAGGGCCCAGCTCGCACCACGTGTCCAACCAGAAATCCACCATTCCCGGGCCGAGATTCCATGAAATCTGCTCCTCCGCCACCTCCCGTATACCTAGCAATCGCTTCCATGTACCAGTCGGCCTTGTTACCTCAACTTGCAACGGGTGCTGGTCCCCAATATACTTGGAGTACATAAAATCCGACCACAAGGAACCCCTTTGACGTAGCCTCCACCACAGTTTATACGAGAAGGCTTTGACCATGTCCTCCAGCAACCTAACCCCTAACCCACCTTCCTCCGTGGGAAAACACAGCTTCTCCCAGGACGCCCAATGCGTTCGTATATCGTCCCTGGATTTATCCCATAAGAAGGAGTTGAATAGTCTTCCCAGTGCAACAAACACTGCCTTGGGGAGTTTAAGCACCTGTAGCAGATAGAGCGGCATGGAATTCAAGACATGTTTTATAAGAATTAATTTTCCCCCCATGGACAACAACTTCCCACTCCAGTGGAAGATCTGTGCCCTCACTCTTGCAAGAATCCCATCGAAGGCAATAGAGGAACATCGACCTCGGGAAATGGGGACACCAAGATAAACCAGCGGGAAAAATTGCCTCTGAAAGCCCAGAATGCTAGCCACCAGCTCCACCTGCGTCTCCGACACCCAAGAGGAGCACACAAAACCACTCTTTGCCACATTAATCTTCTGTCCTGAATACTGTTGGTACCGTTTGAAGAAGTCACTAATCGCTTCTAATGTCTCCTGTGCAAGCCTGGTAAAAATAATGACATCATCGGCGAATGCCAGATATGGAATCTTAATTCCGCCCGCCTGAAAAAACCTGTGTCTACCATGCTGAAACAGGGAATAGAGCCCTTTGCCAAAAAATTCCGCAACTAGTACAAAGAGTCCTGGAGAGATTGGATCTCCTTGTCTGACCCCTCTCGTTGACTTGAAGAATCCAGCCAGCTCCCCATTAACTAGCATTGAGAACCAATTATTGGCGACCAAACGGAAGATCAGATCAACTGCAGGTTCTTGGAAGCCAAACGATCTAAGCATGAACAAGAGAAAGGACCACTCCACTCTATCATATGTCTTCTCCATATCAAGCATTAACAAGAGGTTCGGAACCTCCAAGCGACGGTCCAATTCTTTGGCATGTTCTTGCGCCAGGAGAATGTTATCCATTATTTGACTGCCCGGAACGAAGCCAGACTGCCAAGGAGAGATCAGTTGGGGTAGGAGCTGATTCAGCCTATTGGACACTAATTTAGATATTATCTTGGAGCTTACATTACATAGGCTGATTAGCCGGAATTCCTGCCATCGAGTAGCCCCCTGAATTTTGGGTATCAACACAATCAATGTACTGGTTACTCCTTTTGGCAGCCACCCCCTCTAAAATAATCATGGATAGCAGCCACTAAACTATCCTTAACTATCTCCCAGCACGCCTGGTAAAAGTCTGACCCAAAGCCGTCTGGACCAGGGGCACTATCTGGACTGATCGAGAACACCACTTCTCGCACCTCATCCGTTGTTGGCAGGGCCAGCATACTCTCATTATCCCCCTGAGACACCTGTGGGAGAGCGAAAGGCAATACTAGCTGCCAATCAGTATTCCTATCCGAACTGAATAACGCTTGGAAGAATGCTGCTGCCGAACTCTTAATGTCCTCAGCCTCAGACAGCCACTGCCCCGTTGCACTCCGAATCCCAGAAATGTAATTCGAAGCCCGCCTTTGTCGAACCACAGAATGGAAGAAGGCCGTGTTCGCATCCCCCTCCTGAATCCATTTTATCCTCGACTTTTGACGCCAAAACCCACACTCTACAGCCAACTGCTTCATATATGCCGCCCGAGCCTCATGATAAACAATCTTCGCTGCCACAATTCTCCCCGTATCATACTGCATTTCGGCAGTCCGCATATCCCTCTCGAGCTCCGCCACCCGGGTCTCTATATTCCTGAAAACCTCCTTGTTCCATACCCTCAGCTTGCTCTTCACCCCCAACAGTTTTTGATAAAATTTTGACATCGTACGTGAAGGGCCTCCCCCTCCCCATACCTCTTGAACAACCCCAAGAAAGGACCTGTGACGGGGCCACACATTGAGATACCTGAAGGCCGATTTACCCTGCCTTCCTGAACCACACTTGATCAGTAAAGGCGTATGATCTGACCGTCCCCTGGACAGGTGCAACACTCGTGTCACTGAACACATCTCAGCCCATTCTTGGTTAATCACCACTCGATCCAATCTCTGCCATATCGTCCCATTCGTCCAGGTGTACTTAGGTCCTTCGAATTCTACCATAGTAAGGCCATAATTAAAGAGCGTCTGATTGAAATCCTCCATATGACGTGCGTTCGGTGCTGCACCCCAAGCCTTTCTGACGCCTCCGTGATGATATTGAAATCCCCAGCCACCATCCAGGATCCTTGTCTCGAAGACGCCAACCTCTCCATAGCACTCCAGAGCGGACGTCTAGCCACCCCAGTACATCGGGCATAGACCGCGGAGAAGAAGAACGACCCAACTGGAAAACTGATCTCCATATCCACTAACTGCTCTGCTAGCGTGCTAAAGGTGATGTTGAGAATAGGATCCCAAAGAACCCAAATCTTACCCTCCACCAGGGAAATTGCTGATGGGAAACCAACCACTCTTTTGACATACTCTAGGCGGCCTTCCTCCGACATAGGCTCCAACAAAACCAAAAGTTTCACGTTATAGTCTACTTTTAATTTTTTTAAATACCAGAGTGAATCCATCTTAGACGCACCCCGTATATTCCAGACTAGAAAATTAATCATTCCGAGCATTAGCATTAGAACGAAGGGCATACCTACTGCGAGTTTCCCCTACCCTTATGCTTGACCGTGGGTGCCTGACCATACGTGCCGCCTCTCCCACGATATCCAAGTGTGGCAACCTCTGCTCCTCTGTCACTTTAACCTCTGCGGATTCCCTCCAATTCGGCTCCATCCTGCGCGAATGCCCCAACCGCTGTGTCAACACCTCCTGCATGTCCCGTAGGTCCTGGTGCCGCAACTCACTTGCTGAATCTCCACGGACTGGACTGAGCGATCTAGCCCTCCTCAGAATACAAGCTGGCCATCTATCGAGCTCGTCACTCACCCTATTGAGGATCCCAAATGAGTTCCGTAGCTGTACCGGCTCCACCGCTTTCTCCTGGACAACCCCCTTACCCCCTGCCTGTGCCAGCACCAACGCCATTATACCCCTCGTATCTGTCTTCCTCTCTTCATCAGCACCCATAGATGCCTCGCTCTCCCCCTCCTGCTCTTGCCCACCCCCTTCCGCCACTGCCACTGCACTTCCTGCCGAGTCCCCATCCCGCGCCTGCCGCATCGGTGGGTCCTTCTGTGCCAGACTTTTCCCTTTATCCTCCCACCCCTCAGGCTGCCCCTGATCCAAAACCAATGCCTCAGCCCCCTTCAACTCCGCCCGCTCTCCAGCTATCGTCGACTGCTGCATATCCCGTCGCACATTTTCCCCCTGCCGCGGAATCCATGTGGGCCGAGGGAGTGTCTGCTACGGTTGCGAATTTTTATTAGGTTTCAGCGCTGGGTTCTTCTTGAAACATAGCTGCTGATCGTGGCCAAACCGTTCACAGAAATGACAAAACTCTGGCCAGTTTTCATATTCAACATTCTGCCAGAAACCATACTCTTCCTCCCCTATCCAGATCCGCGTCACAGGCGTCTGGGTAACATCCATCTCAACCAGCACCCGGGCTACCGAGGGCCGCCGCAGATCCCCCGTTGCTGCATCGACCTTCAACAGACGACCCAACACTGAGGCCAATTTATTCAGTACTTGCCTGTCGAAAAACAGTATGGGTAAGCCAGGAAAACTGACCCAGACCGGCGCAATTGAGATCTCTTTATTGGCTTTGAAATCCAACGACCACTTCGAAAGAGTCATAGGCGAACTCTTTATGAACCACGTACGGCGGACAAAGAGTCTAGTGTAATCCTCCTCCAGTGTTGGTCTGATGAGAACGTGATTCGAATCTAACAAGGCGACTGCACACTCCCTCTTCAAATCCAACGACAGAAAGAACTTCCGCACCGTCTCCATCGGTGGCCTGCTGTACGAGAATCGACCTACAAGTGCGTGCTGGAATGGAAGAGCCAATTGCATGATATCCTTTTTCGCGATTCTGAGGGCCGGCTCCCCTCTAAACGTCGATACCGTCCCTGGATTAAACCCCTCCTCACTGCCGTTATCCGCTACCACCGCCGCAAAACTCCTCAAAGCATCCCCTACGGCCCATGCCGGCTGCTGGAGTGCCGCCATGGCCTGGCTGCCCACTTTGGCGAACCCTAATTTTCCTTATCAGTCTAAAACATATGTCGTTGAGAGACTGATAAGCTCCTCCGCATACTCCCTCCCCGTATGTGTAAAACTATCATTAGGGATCAAATCACTTATAACCATAGCTCAATATCAATAGATTGTAAGAAAATAATCATCCTTTCCTTCCAACTCACATAGTTTGAACCATTGAACATAGGAGGTCTAGTTACTGATTGTCCCTAAAAAACATGGCATTGTTGGTTGTCATATTTACTCCTAAGCCGATTGAGCTTAATCTCAAGGAGACCAAGCTTTGATACCAATTGTAAGGATTGAATACAACCTAAGAGGGGGGTGAATTAGGTGATTTAAAAGCTAGCCAAAATACAAATCACTTTTTTTCTGAACTAGCCCTCTTTTTCTAAAGTACCAGACCAAGGAACAATTTATGATAAAGCGGAAGTAATTTAGAGCAGAAGAGATAAACAGTTAATGTTGTAAAACAGTGAATAAGAAGATGCAATAGCAAACCAAATCTCAAACTCGACTAGAGTTTGAATATCCCTTTATATTGTAAGCTCCTTCAAGTTGATTCAACATACAACCAATCTCTTGTGTACACGGGAAGGATCACTTCCTCCTTGCCTCAAGATACACTTGATCAAGTAAGAAAGTTTTACAATCACTCGAATAACCCTCACAAAGCTACACTATTGAAGAAATTGAATCACACTTGAAAAGCTAAATGAAGATCACAGAACTAAGAGTACAAATCTTCTTTTTGGAGTATTCTTATGCTTGAATCACTCAAGATCTAATGTAGACTTAATGTGTATCAATTGATTTTGGTGGTTGACTTTTATCCTATTTATAATAGACAAAAAATATCTTCAATTAATGCTACTAACGGACACAAGGCAGCTAAAGAATCAACTAGCCGTTAGTAGTATCGGACGTCCGGTAGGCTGATTTTGTGCGTTCGAACGTAGGTAGTGAGTTCAAGAAATTTTTTTGAAATCTTTAGGACGTCCGGCAACATCAGAATATGCGTCCGACCATATGATGTAAAACTTGGAATCCTTCATTAATTCTTTCGGACGTCCGGTGCTTCTAATGCTTGCCATCCGAAGTGTTGCAACGATTGTCGGACATCCGGTGCTCAGGTATTGTGCGTCCGATCGAGGTTAAAGATCTTAGAAGTGCTGACTTATCAGGTTCGGACATCCGAGGATAGGTTCTTTGCTCGTCCCAAGATACTCAACGATTATCGGACGGCCGATGGGATGTATTTGTGCGTCCGATCAAGGTTAGAGATCCTAGAAGTGCTGACTTATCAGTTTCGGACGTCCGAGGATAGGTTCTTTGCGCGTTCGAAGATACTCAACGGTTATCGGACGGCCGATAGGATGTATTTGTGCGTCCGACAAATGTTTTAGCAGATGCTTGGCCTTTGAACCTGTTTTGCTCCATTTTCTGACAAAAAACAAACTTGAAAAACATAGTTTTATCCACTTGTTTTGTAATCATCAAAAGGTACGAACAAAGATAAACAATTTTCCCTTTTCATCTCAGTGGCAGCTGTCAAGACAAAAAAATAATTTTCATGTATAGCTAAGAAAGAAAAAAATGGAAATTGGGCACAACATGGAGAAAAAAAAGGAAAATTTCACCTTAACTAACTCCTTTGAACTTCATTTGCTTTTTATTGGTTTCATCCATGCAAAGTGTAGAGTAGTTCAAGCATACCTTAATATGAAAGTTCCCAACAAGATTAAGATCCATAGAATAATAGGTGGAAGCAATCTTGTTTGTTCAATCAATATTCACAAAAGAAAAAGAAAAAGAAAAAGAAAGGCAGGGAAGGAAGATGCAGATGATCAAGAGGAAGAAAAGCCTACAAAGAAGAAGATGGAGGAGAGATACCTGCCCTATTCTTCTGCAGTACAACAAACCAAGAAGAAATGAGCAAAAACCAAAATAGCAATGGAAGCACAAATACCAACAATCATAATGCAAATATCTCCAAAATTTGACGGGCAATACATGGACGTTCGTCCACTTCTTGTACGAACAAATTTCCAACAAGCGTCTTAATAAAAAAAAAGAGTAGAAAATTGTTCTTTGTCAAGCTTGTACAAGGACGGTGGAATCTATTTTACACTCACAGGGCATTCAAAAGAAAGATCCTTTATAATAGAATTTGTAAAATTTGGGGAACAATAAGGGTAAAATTATAATTTCACTGACCCACCACTGAGCCCAAGACCAACCTCTTGTCATTCAACCTAACTAATCACACCTGATGCAACGTGGGCCAGCCACTCTCCCCTTTCTTCTCCACTTCTTTGGCTTGTAATCTTCTTAGTCATCCAGTCTAGTCTTCTAGTTAGAAAGAAAGAATGAATGGAAAAGAAAACGAAATGGGAATATAAGAAAGGCAAGCTACCACTAGAAACCAAGTTAGATGAATTGTGAGGACTCGCAAATTTCTTATATTTTTCCTCAAAAATGCCTTTTATTTGAAATTAATATTTATTCAAGGCCTCTTACCCAATCCTTCCACAATAAGTGTAAATAAACCTAAAAAGTAGGGTTTCACTCTTCGGTTTCAAGATCGGAGCAAATTAGGGTTTTCGCGATTTTTCTCGCCGGATGAATTTTCGATACTGAGCAAGAATCAAATTTGGTGATTAAAAGTGACTTTTAAGTGAGAAATAAAATATGATTAGGAGCAATGAGATAAGATTGGTGAATAGGAAGTAAAAACCCTAGTACGTGTGTTTTTAACAAAAACGGCGCGAACCGGCAGGTCCCGCGCACTACCGATTGAACGTACCACTTGACCACCACTTTCTTACCATACAATCTCATTAATATTTGAGCAAAATATCTCCTAATTTCCAGCTAAGTTTGACCGAAATTAAAGGCTGAAAATACAAGAGAGGAAAAGAAAATTTTACTTGGTAAGGGATGTGACAAGTGTCACACCATTAGGGGTCATTGACCAAGACAATTGTCCAACCTTCTTATCCCCAAAATTGCTCCATACTCCTTCATTTTTCTGCTGAAGAGCCGAGAGAGAGAGAGAGAGGGAAAGAACAAGAGAAAAACTTCTTCATTTCTTCTTGAATCTAGCAACCAAGGGAGGAAACAAAGAAAATAAACCGATTAAACTCACCTTTGAGTGTTTAGTTAGTGAAGTGTTGGTGAGATTTTGAAAGGGAAAGCTAGGGCTTCACTTGGTGGATACTAATCAAGGTAAGGATGATGATTTTTTTAATTCTTACTTTCAATCTTGTGCAAATTACCATAGTAACTCAAGTTTGTGATGAATAACGGTTGTTAGCATGTCTTGAGGGTTGTTTTTCTTGTGGAC